TGTTCCCGATCAGCCAAGCCTTCAGCAGGACTACTTTCCTTCCAGTAGGGAATTAGCATACTGCTACAAGTTTTGTGACTGTTCCTCTTCAGAGAATCTGCATTCATACACATTGAGAACATCAAGGGCAAGTGGTACAGCTAATCATTAACAGTATGGAAGAGTTCTTTAAAAAGCAACATGAAATTGGTTCATGTCCATCACTGACTGGTGAGTGATAAAACTACAGGGTCATAGCAGATTCTTAAAAGGGCAGAATGACTTTTTATATTTCAGTTGAAATAGTCATTTGGTAGAAGTTAATTAAGGAAGATTCCTGCTTAATCTAGACCTAGTTTTGAGATTCCTGACAAGTTTATCTTAAATTTGCAGGGACTTTTAGACAATTCTCGGTTGGATTCTTAAGAAAAAACATTGTTTTCAATTCCTACCTTTACTAGGACATTTGGATAGCTTTCCTTTAGCTTTGCCTATGTATTATTTCCTGCAGTTATCCACTGTACAAATGGCTAGATCTATAAATTTGGAACACAAATTTCACTTTTGCATGCCTGAGAACAAAAGAAAAAAATAAAGAAAGGTCTTGTGGCAAAAAGAAGCAGAAGCTGTACTAAAGGAAGCCTTGCACCAGAATATTTTTACCAGTAGATTGAAATACCACTAAGAAGGAAAGGATGTATGTATATCATATGTATGTCAGCAATTTTATAAAAACTAAAGTACAACATTTAAATATATTTGACTTGAACTTTTCTCACTGTAGACTTAACCATAGACATGGATAGCAAAATCGTAGGTATATAAATTAGAACTAGTCAAAAAAAAATTATTATTCTGTGGAAAATTATTTCTTCTGTGGAAATGTTGAATTTTGTTTTCATTCCAAATAAGAATTTCACAAAATTTAAATTCCAATAATAAATTGAGTATATTAATGTGTGTTGTTTATCATACTGTATCTAAACCACTGAGTGGAAATGCTACAAAGTATTAATTAGATCTTTTCTAAATCAAATCATTTGCTCATTTGCATATAGAAATAGCAAAAATATGGATTAATATTGTAGAACCCATTTAGCTCTTCTTTCTTTTTTTCATCCTTCTGAGACTGTAGTTATGAAGAACTAAGACCTTGCCCTGGGAAGGATATGTACGTTACACATGGGTTTTGTCAGACTCTATGCTGAAGAGGTCCATTTGGTTATGGACCAACTGGCCCATTCAATCAAGGTGTATCTCTTGGAGTGTAATGAGTTTAAGACAGTGCTTAAGACCTGTTAGACGAGTCCTGTTACACTATACAAAGCAACTTTTCTTCCCTGGAGAAATGAGGGTCAGTCAGCCAATGCTTTTACTCATCCAGTTCCTATTGATGGGGTTTATGTAGTCAAGTGCTAGATTATGTTTTATATTGCTACATATATCCACAAGATTAAACATTTGTCACAGTGCTGCTGCTCTGTGCAATTTGAGGTGAAGCATGCAGTAGAGCATGGGGGTCACTAACAACAACCTAGCCATTGTGACCTCTTTTGTAAATGCTGCTCGAAACACACTGTGAGCAGGATCGACATTTTAGTTTTGCAGAAGGGTATGAATGGGAGGGGGAAAAAAAAAAAAGGGAAAAAAGTATTGAGCTACATCTAACTAATTCAAGCACACAGCCCTCTGAACACTTGGAAAAAAATCTGTGTGAATATTAATTTAATTTTTTTTTAAACTGCTGTTTTTAACATCTAATAGCCTATGTATGTTCTGATTTTCCATCTGTGACTTAATTGTATAGAGCTACTGAGATTTGGACTTGATGGAAGTAAGGAAGGAGATTGTTCCATAGTGTCTAGTCATTTTAAAATCTGAGCAACTAGTTTTTGTGATGGCGATTGCAAAGGAAGAGTATATTTCCACCGTAGCTGATTCTTCTAGAAAATGTGAAGTAGTTTAGAACCAGAATCATTCATTAATTCATTCTGTAGTGGCTTTCTTGAGCAGGTCTGTTGCATATCTCCTGAATTAAAAGAGGAAAATAGTGTATATTCTACCATTACCTACTTATCTGCCTGAGAGTGATAATTTCATACAGATTCCTGTTTTATATATTGCCATTCTCAGTCAGCTTTAGGTTCCTGGTCCTCTGCCCAAGAGAGAGCTGACTTGAACAATGTATGGCACTTTTCCAGCATGTATCAGCTGGTTATGGTCCCCTTGGTCTATTCAAGTTGTGTATAACCAGAAGTCAATACTGTCCCATGAGTCTCCTTTGCTAATCTCCACTGTGCCCTTTGCTGTGGGGTAGTATTGTAGAAATTGCACCCAAGCTACCTATACACAAATTTCCAGATGTGTTTGCAAGGACAGCGGGTGTGCTTGTGGCTTGCCACAGCTGCTTTGCTGTAGTGGAGACAAAATTAATTAAAACTGTTTCTGGAAGTGTGTTTTTCACTAGGACAAATCACATGCTGAGTTTTAGCTATGCTAAAGCATCCTGGATTTACAAAATGAATCGTGGAAAAAACATTTCAGTGATGTATTTCTGTATTAACTTGGTTGTTCCTTGATTTAGTGCCAATCACAAATGATAGCAATCGTTGAATATTATATATTTATAACCTGATATCTGTTGTGTGCTATTGTGTTGAAAGTAAAACCAAAAGTAACTTCTCTGTCCAGGTGCAAAGCCAGCAACCTAACCACTGGCAGCCAGTGTCTCTACTGGCAGTATGCAGCTATAGACAAATTTTATTTTGCATTTTTTTAAGCCACCAGAAATATTCTTTTGTCTAGCGTCTGTAGGGAAAATAGAACAGATGGACTTTTTCATATGGCCTAAGTAAATCTCTTACTTCCTTTGGCCAGTCTTCCAGAGTAGGGTGGGTGAGGAAAATAGGTCTGAGAAGCTGGTATTTGTGTTCCTCTCATGTAAGTAGAAATTTATAGAATTTATCTAAAAAGGTATAGCTAATAACATTCTTGAGAGGTGTTTTGTTAAGATATTGGAAGCTATGCCAGCTATGCTGTGTTGTTCTGTACCACTCTGAATACAGGTGTCCTGTTTAAAATTAATTGAAATGTCAAAGTTTAGACCAAAACACTAATTTTCAGTTCCTCAGCTCCCAATAGTTGCTACAGTGTTATATCATTAAACATGCTAGATGTGAGGCATAGATGTTTGCAATTAAAAACATTAATTGATGTATGCCAGACTATATAACTTCAGGTTTTCATCAGGACAGTGATCTCCTGGACCGGCGGAAACATTGCTTCAGTGTCCAGTCTGAATCTGGGGAAGATCTTTACTTTTCTGTGGAACTAGAGTCTGACCTATCTCTATGGGAAAAAGCCTTCCAAACAGCAACTTTTTTAGAAGTGGAACGAATACAGGTAAGAACAACTGCCTTGACACTTACCTCTTGGTACATTGGGGTCTATATGAAATAATGATGTGATTTAAGAAATTCTGTGGCCTCCTGCAACTCAAATTATTATTGTTTTATGTATTTTATTGCATAAAAAAAAACCTTTTTGGTGTTTCCAAACAGCTTGCAATCTTAACATTCAGCAGAGATCACCTCAGATACAATCTTTGTGTTATTATGACTAAGTGATACCAGTTAACTAAAATTCATGGCAGAAGAGGAAAACCAATCTATAGATCAGGGACAAAACTAGCTGTTTAAGTATTCTTATATATAGTCTTACATATTAGATTATTTGTTATTGGATAACATAGAAAAACCTTGAAGGAATTAAATGGTCCTTGTGATAGTCAGGAATGAGAGAACATTGAGTGACAGCACTTACTGAATGCAGACAAGAGCATAATTGTACCTCAGATACATTATTCTGTTCTCACACATTTCTTGTTTCTTGTGCATTTACTCAACTATTAGGCAGCAGAACAGAGATGGATGATATTCAAGTACAGATTGCTAGTGAATTTTTATAGCAGAATTATGTATCAGAATGTTTAATAGAGATAACTCTCAGATGAACAAAAAGTAGTGCTATTTTTTATTTAAAATAGGAGAAAAAAATACCCACCACAATTATAATTCACCTAATCCTAGTTGTTATGATGTTGGTGCTCTAATAAAAAAAATACATGTGGTTGTATTTTATCAGCTTTAGCTGATGTTGTTGTGAGTTATTCTGTACACACACCTACAAAAGTCATATTAGCATATCAGCCTGTGCAAGTATTTGCTAATGCTTGCTTGCCCTGCTCTCATTTTCTGTGTCCTCCTGAGAATGCAAGCACTGACAGTTTTTTTATTTAGACAAATTGTTAGTTAGTTATATATTAACCCTCTTCTGACCTGTAAACCAGCACATACAGATGGGCTGAATCAGTATATGCTAGTGATGATCCATTTTGCAAAATCAACACTGCTGTCAGTTTTGATGCCCATTTATTACCTTGGCTGAAGGAGGAGTTAAAGCAGGTTCAACTTTTAAGTTCATGCACTCTGCTACCTTTTACAGGAGCTATTCTTACCTTTTGAACTCCTGATTCTTGTGCTGAAAAATGTACAGTTTTTCTGTACAAAAGCTGCAGTATATGTCCTCTGCTGCTAAATATTTGAGGTGCTTTCTCTTTCTTGTGTAACTGACTGCAGGGTGGTTTGTGGAAGCACTACTGTGCCATCAGTAAAAGAATATATGGCAATTTTCATTAATACCTTTTAGCCCAGAAGCCACTTCATATTTGTTCTCATCTAATATTGATATGTACTGTACTATTCCAATTTTAGACTTTTCTCCTGAGTTTTAGAATTATGTTTATTCAGAATTGCTCCCATGTTTCCCCAAAAGAATTCCCTAATAATCTTACCCACAGATTAATTTTAACCGTTCCACGTTTCTTTTCACTCCGTGCCGCTTCAGAGTAGCAATTATGAACTCAGAGCAATGATTGCCTCAGATTGACTGATGATAGCAAATTTGTGAAGGTGGACAGGCTTCTCATAATAGATTATTATTGTGGAACTTGCACTTAGGAATTTATTTTTTTTTTTGTTTTCTTTTTCAATATATCAAGTTGGGGAAAAAATAAATTAATTTTTAATACAATTGGTCTTGTCCTCCACATTTTTTCTTCAGCAATCCGTTACTGCTTTCATGCACTAGTTTGCAGATTCAGATAAAATCTGCTTTGTCTAAATAGTAGTGAAAAAAAACAGGCAACACGTTCAAAACTGAGGTATCAGATGTACATTTTTTCTAAAATTTTGTTCTGTGCAAATGTGTTAGTATGAATATTCACATTTCATGTGAATGATAATCTAGCTGTCTGCAGGCTTGTCTGATTATGAAATAATATAATTTTGAAAATATAACTGCAGTTTAAAACTGCTATCTGAAATTATTCAAATGTTTGTGTCATATTCCATTATCATACAAATAATAGCAGTTACTCAAGAAGTGTAAATTGTTATTAACCTTCACAAGAGGTTAATCAGGGTCCTATTCTGATGTAATTCTAAAGAATACATCACAATTAAAATATCTTAATGATGCCTCAATATAAATATGTATGAAATTCTGTTTAAGCCTAATTCACAGCTCCTGCCAGACGTAAATCTAAAACAAAAATTAGGCAGGGTTTGTTTTTGGCTTTTTTTTAGGAAAGAAATATATTATAGGAGAGATATTAAATTGATAACAGTTTATATGGTGCGATCCCGTAGCAGTGATGTTGCTGTGTGTTTAAGTGACTGTTTAATTAGTTTTGTTTAGAGGTGTAAGAGATGCTAACCTATTTGCATCATTGCCTATTAAAAGATAGATAAATAAATAAATAAATAAATTGGTTTAAATGCAGATTCCTGTTCCTCACTATCTCACAGCACTGTTATGCAAAGAATCTGAGATTACTATAGATTGCATGACACACAATTATATATGATTGTCAGGTTCTCTTTATAGTCCTGCTAATTTATGCTAATATTTTCACCACTTCCATCATGATTTTTTTCTTACTGTTGTTCTTGTTTGTATTATAGTTGTTTGTTCCCTAATAGAAGAATTATTGTATAAACTGCTTTGTGTTGCAGTACTTCAACCTTTGTCTCCACTGAAACTGAATCTGAGTTTGAGGTCTGAATTAAATTTTGAACTTTTAGTACTATTTCCCTTAGCTTCAGAGATAGCTTACACTAGGTTTACAATGTATCATATTTTCCATAATTTAAACTGTGTGTATTGAGGGAGAATCTAAGCAACAACTTTGGATTGTCTCCTTCAGCCCCTGTCTTATCTGCTGAATTATTCATAAACCAAATATAAGATTCTGTATTCTGTGAGAGAAAAGGAAATGAGTGCTGAAATATCTTCTGCTTCTTTTGGGAGGGGGGTGCTTCAGTTCTGATATGATTTTTCATGAGTTCTATGAGAAAAATCGGCAACCAAAGCCAAACACACACAGTATATATTATTAATAGTCACTTTTAATGATTTAAGAAAATTTAAATTATCAGGTATTCTGGGAAGAATTTATGCATTTTTGCTTTTCTCTGAATGTCTGTACTAAAAGATTAAAGAAAATAAAGATGAGAAAAAAAATCTTAATGGTGTTAATGAGTCTCTGGAAGTTCACATCCCTACAGTGACCTGTGACCAGAATCATGTGGAAGTGCATACAACATATGCATACAGCAAGGGACGTTCTTCCTCAAAGAAACTAAAATCTTGCTGTCCAGAGATCCTTTTATTCTTCTCACATTTTTGCTTCTCTGAATTGTTTTGAACGTCATGGAGTCTATGGTCTAAGGGCATAGACTGGTCTTACATCTAAGTAAAGAATCGGGTGCTGCTGGTGGTCTGCACCTTACAGTGCAGTTTCTGCCTGCTGATAACCACATTGATCTGAGCTGGATGATATTTCTCCACAAACTGTGCACTGTCTTTGTAGAAAGAACCTTCAGTCTGGGAAGCAAGTTGCTTTTTTTTTGGTGCAGCATTGAACCCGGGCTCACATGGCCTGTTTCTCATAAATCTTGACTTCTCAGTGCGGCTAATTAGCCCAGGCACAGTCCTATGCTTCCTCAGAGGTAGGTGTGCCAGCTCCTAATGGTGCTACGATGCACAGTGCAGGTTGACCTCTGATGTGGAGGTGGCATTTCGGATGAGTTAGATGGCAATATATATTTTAAATCTGATATACAGTCTGCTTGGCGAATTATAATTCTCAGCAAAGGTTCTATGTCTGTTATAGATATCTTGGAGGTCCACAAATGAAAATCTAGTTTGGATCTTGTAGGAAGTTAGCACAATAATTCTACAAAGCTGTACATTTTTTTGCTTTGTATGCAAAATGTGAACATTTTTGCATATGTGAATTTATTAAGTAGAAAGTCACTGTGAAATGTATTACTTTACGATCTTCTCTTCTGTTAATGAGATATTGCTAAAGCCAATAACCTCTCCTTTTCTAACAACATTGATTTACAATCAAAGTTTATATATTCATAAGTTTTTTGGTGTAGCTGCTCAAAAAAGAACCCCACCCACTTTTTTTTTTTTTTCCTAACATAAACCCAAATACCATATGACTGCAACACCACAGAGCTGAATCATTGATTTGTAATTAAAAATTGGGGGAGGTTATGCAGTAATAGTTATAATGACCAAGTGCACCTCTATACTGTCTGAATTCAGATTTCGTACACGTAGTGAAGTACTTAGTTCTTTCAGTGCTGGAAGCTACAAGAATAGACCAGGTGCTGTTTCCCACCTCAACAGCAGCAGGAGGAAACCTGTAATTTACTGACAGACAGTTATAGCTTTTGAGCACTTTTGGTGGATCACACAGCAAAATATGATCTACTGTTACTCAACAGTAATGCAAAATCGTCTTGTAAGGCACGTGCCATGGATTGTTTTCACTTCTGAGTTATAGATGAGCATGTTTTTCCTATAGAATGGCTTACACCCTGCATTTGGACCCTAGTGATAAGTAACAGAATGTCCTTCATCTTCAATGCTGCACAACACTATGTTTGCAACCTGGATTCTAGAGCTCCAAGCTGTGCACACAACAATTAACCAACAGCTATTTGTATATAGCTGAGACCTGATTTGATTAATGAGAGCAATTCATTGAATATTTCCATCCTGGAAAAGAAATCTATATTAACATGTGAGAAAGTAAAATTTAGAATAACAAAAACGTCTATATAGCTATGAACTTTTCCATTTTCCTTCTTTACCATGTCTATTTTAAATCTTAGAAGTTTTTAATGAGCCCTATAAGCTTCTTGTGTTCTGGGGAAGACCATTTAGAAACCAAAAGCCCACCCAAAGAATATATAGATAAAGGCATGTGATTTATCCTTGATAATTAAAAATGCAAAAAAAATTAATATTTAATAATTTTGTGACACAAATAATTCAGTAACTTACATGGCCCCCATGTTTACATTGTATGTATTGGTATTGGTTCTTTAATACATAATAGATCATGCAAGTCTTTATTCTCATTTCATATATTTAGTGGCTATAGCAACATTTGAAGAAAATAACTATATTTCATTTAATCTGGAGGGTAACATTTCTATAAAATAAGAATAGTTTCTCTAAAAAAAATCAGATTTTGAAATGTTTTAATCTTTTTTACATAGTTTGTGATGAAAAATGAGTTTGTGATGAAAAATATGAGTTTGTCATTCTGTACCTGAGGTCAGCCTCCAGGCATAGCAGTAGTTTAAAACAACACTAGTAGATGTCTCACAGCTTGTGTTGAAGTGTGATGTTATGCAAATAGATGCATAGATTTAAAAAAAAAAAATTGAATCAGAAAGTCTTTTGTGATTTATTTGAGATATATTGGTTTTCTAGCTGAAGCAAAAAACACATTCCATATGATTATGTCAGTTGCTACATTGTATGAAATTCAACCTTTTTCACTGAGATTGAAGACAACACAAAACCACAATAAAGAGCATACCCAGGAGATTTTTTTTAAAGCATTTTTTCATAAAAAGCTAAAAAGAATATATTAATGGTAGAGGAAGTTACTGGCTACCAAAATGAATAAGGGAGTTCAAAAAAAATGAAACTTCCCTTTTAGCTGTTGACATTGGTAAACCACTGAGGCAATTCTGATTCTGATTGATGTTTTCCCTAGTGGAAGCAAAGCATCTTTTTACAATACTTTGAAAACTTCATCACTGATACACATCCTTTGATTTGAAATACACTGACAGTAAATTGACCTATTTACACACAAATTACTTAGGATAATAATTTTGAGATATGTAATTAGAATGAAGACCCCAAAATACCGCTTCTAGAAAAAAATCTGTAGAAATGTGTTGTGTGGTAACTGCTATCTCTGATTTTTCTTTTACAGTGCAAGACGTATGCCTGTGTTTTGGAGAGTCATCTTATGGGACTTACCATTGACTTTAACTTTGGCTTTGTCTGTTTTGATGCTGCCACAAAGGTAAACTTCTAAGACTTATTTCCATCACATTATTATTATTCCTAGTTATTTCCTATAATCTGAGATAGGTAGTACATCCTCAAAATGTATTTCTTTTTGTTATCGCAGCAGATCATCTCTTGTCAAATCTCTTATGCTTTAGTTTAAAATTTGAAGGTGATTTCCAAATGATGTGAGAAGTTGTGTTCTGTTGTGTGCTTGTTATTGAAGAGTCAATACCAAAATCAACCTGAAACAAACATCAAGTCTTCATTCTTTAATTTCACATGAAAGCCCAGAGTAGTTCAGCTGGATCTGTCTTTCACTTGTGCATCCTTGATTTTGGGAGGAAATAATCTTCTTGGTTTTAAGCTGATCTGTGAGCTGTGAAAAGAACCTGCCTTTCTCTTCTCCTGTTTAATAGGTGGGAGTGTGTATTATAAATGTCAGTTTATGTTTTAGATATTTTAGTTCAGGTGTCTGTTAAAAGAGAAATCAGCCATGGTCTGTATGTGTCATGTTTTTCCTGTCAGTCTTTAAAAAGCTCAGTACAACTGATGAAATAGTTTGTTATATTCAAGTGAATAATATGCTATCAATTTTCAGGTTATATTAATGCAAGTCCAAATCTCAGTAAAATCATTAAGAGCCAACGTGATGTTTGCATTTGCACTAATTGCTAACAAGTACTAAAATGTAGGTAGGCTTTATTGCTACTGCTTGACACTACTACTATGGGAGAACATAAAATATTCCATTTTCCTTTGAAATGCTGCATCACTGCCACCAGCAATTGCTTGAAAAAATGCCCTTTTCTTTCCAGAACAGGCTCCTATTATCTATCTTGTCAACCCTTCCTACCACATTACTCTACCAATCGGAAGCCTTTTATTTTTCCCCCCTCCATTCTACTGTTTATTTGCACAAGTTGTGATGAATTTGAAATTCAAATACTCATATATATATTTTTTTTTTTTCTTTTTGCAACAGTAAAGAAGTTCTTTCTCATGTTGAGGCGGAACTTCCTTTGCTCCAGCTTATATCCATTGCCCCTCGTCCTGTCACAGGGTACCAGTGAAAAGAGGTTGCCCCTTTCATCTTGACACCCAGCCCTCATGTATTTATACACATTAATTAGATCCCCCCTAAGTCTTCTCTTCTCCAAACTAAAAAGCCCCAGGTCTCTCAGCCTCTCCTCGTAAGGCAGGTGTTCCTTATGAGAAATAAGTTAAATGAATTAAATTAAAATGCAGTGGCTCAGAAAAAAAATTATGGGTTTCCCCTCACCCATGATTAATAATGAAGCAATGCTTTTGTATAAAGATAAGCTTTCATCTCCTTTGAAGCTTTTGCACATCTCTGTTTCTCAAATGACATTAGACTCTTTCAAAGCCATTACCTGCAGTACAAGCATACATCAAATTTCAGACAGCAAAGCAGAAGCACAAATGCCTTTGTACATGTTACCACAGCTGAAAGGTGTAGTACCCTTTTGGTAAGTCCTTAGAACACATACAGCAGATTTCCAGATGTATATGTACTAGAGTTTTTTTCTATAACTTCACTTCCCTGCTTTCTCAAATAAGTCATTGTACCTTTCCATTTGTGCAGTTTCTTGAGACATCATCCTGGAGAACAATATTACTTAAAACAGATTATTCTTTGCCCTTACAAATAGGTTTTTTAATTTATTTTTTCTCTCATATCAAAGAGTGGGAAAATGTTTCAAGTATTAAAATAGGCTGCTGAAATTCTAAGGCAATTGTTAGCTTTGCCAGCAGATTTACATTCAGCTCTTCTCTCTTCCTGCTGCCCCATGTTGCCTATCAAGTCACATAAATAGCACTAAAAATACATGCTAAACTCCAGCATTAAAACAAGTGCAGCAAAAAATTAGCCTCTAACTTCCATTTTAAGCCAGAAGAGTCCAGAACAGCTGGGAACCCACCCAAACTAAAATCACACTACGCAACCAAGTACCAGATGATCCACAATGCAAGACCACTGAAGTGAAGCTTTGATGACTTGATGACAACCAGAAGAAAGCCAAGAAGAAATTTCCCATCTTTCAAGTCTCCCAAACTTGAGAAGTCCCATAAAGCATTTTAAGAGTATGAGGCAATTTTCTTTTTCCTCTGCCCTTCATCTGCAAAGCCGTGAAACCAGGGGAGGGACCTGTTCCTTCTGGGGTGGCATCAAGCCTGAAATTTTAAACCAAACATTAACCACAGCTGAGTATCTGGGGATCTTGAGGGTCTAAGTACTGACAAAAATGGACACATTTACAGAATTTGAAAGAAGTTTCAACAAAGTATGAAAGCGTATCAGAGGTGTGAAGGAATTTCCTCCAAGAAGGGGAGGATTTCATAGGCATCGTGTGGACAGAACAGACAAGTGTAGAACTCTTCATGAAATGGAGGAAAGACATTTTTATTGCAGAGAATAGACTGTAGTTGTAACTAGAGAAAGTGTAGTATATTTTACATCATCTGACATACTGTTCTGCTCCTCCTCCTTCCCCTCTGACAGCCTTTCAGTGGATAGCTGCCCAGAAAACATTTATTGGACCCAGACCAGCCTTAGAAATCTCTGTTGGTACCACTTGTTCACCACGCTTATATACAAAATTCAAGGAAGAGCAGGGAACTCCTTCTGATCTGTCAAACCCATCACCAACCACCTACTGTGTCACTCTTGTCCTCAAAGCTCCTGAATCCACCCAGGAGCTGCATGCTGTAGTAGTGAGTCAACCTGAAAAACTACTCTTTCCTTCTTTCCTTTTTTACACTTACCTTTTAGTTTCACTTCCACTTTTTCCACTTGCACTGTTCACATTTCCACTGTATTTCTTGTACTTCCTGTGTTTTTACCAATCAAATCAATTTTGCCTTAATGCTTGCTGATTCTTCTCTTAAAAGTGGGTTTTATTTTCCTGAATGGAGGAAGGGACCACACTAGTAAAGCTCAAGAGAGAATCCAGAAGGTTTCAGGGTGTGGTTTGTTTTCCCTTGATAGAAAAAATACAGGCAAGCAAAAAGTACATTTTAAGATAAAGGCACTGTGTTAAAAATGCCTGATCTGTTTGGTTGGGTTTTTTTTTTCTTCTAAAAATTTGTGGAGAATTTTCTTCTGACTTTGTGTTACATATGCTAGTCATGCTGTCTTGCAGGTCTTCCTATCACTGTTCACCAGTCTTTGTGAAAACTCCTTCATTCATCCCACAAACATTTCATGGAACACATGATGCAATTCTTTTGGTGACCCAACACATTATATTCTTCTGTTAGCAATTAAAAAGCACATCATCTAGGGGGGAAAAAAAAAAAAGTCTAACAAAAACTGTGCCTCTCCCTTCAAAGTTAAATATTTGTAAACATAAATACAGATACATGTTTTTCTGGCTTGAATGGAAGTTGTACAAGAGCAAATCAAAAGAGAAACTTGAAGTTTTCTAATGAGATAGAATAGTATTTATCTTTTCAACAGATTCCTTGAAAAATGTTTTCAGGCTTCTGCTATATAATCACTTAAATAAATAGCATAAGCATAAGTAAACTACTGCATAACATTCACAACAAAGATTTCACATAAAAAACATTTACATATAAAAGAAATAAAAATAGTATTTCATTTTCTCTACATATTATTTTGAAGCAGATTGTTATCTTAAAACTTTCGGTGTTGTAAACACAATGCAGTTAGTATTCTGAGAAATCTACCTGCAGTGTTGCACATTAATTAGGTTGTATGTTAGAATAAACTATAGCACCATGGATAAAAAAAGGACATACTGTTTTGTTAGGTAGTCAGATGTATGTCAGTGTGACATGATGTGGATGGCTCTAATGCAATTGCATTAGAAGAGAAGAAAAACAATACTGTATAAAGCAACAAAATCTGTTGCCAAGTGCTCACTACAGTTGAAACTGTCAAACAGTTTCTTTACTCTTGTATGAGTAAAGCTTAACTCGAAGCCATATTCTATGGACTTCAGAGTACAATGTCAGATAATTCATTCATTCCACCTCTCACTTCTCCCAGAATAACACTGCAGATGCAAAAATCTTTTAAGGAATTCAAAGGGGGTTTTGGATAAATACTTGGATGACAGATCTAATGAATATAATTCTTTTTTATTATTATTAATACTTACTTGTGTCCTAGAACACAAAGCTCAAGTTGTAGTTTCTGTGGACACCTGAAAAGTCCTGTCTTATATTTTGGTGCAGGGGAGTATTCAGTACACCTTTGGGCAATTTCAATTTTATACTTAATGGTATGTTCATGGTATTTTAAGGGTTTTTTTTCTTAATCACTGCTGAATTTACCATGAACTATTTTTAATAGTGAATAATAACTGATAAACCGAAGTGAAGCCAAATTTATCAACTCATGATTTTAACAGTTGTGTAGCTATTCCAATAGTCAAGTTATTTAAGCAATGAAGCAATATTTAGGTTGTTGGTTTTTTTCCCCTCTCATTTTTCAAGTTAATAGATTTGATTTTTCTGACATGCCTGACAAATTGAAGTCAAAATTTCATAAATGTTCTAAAACCCAAACTCACTACTAGTGCTCATGAATGAGTTTATAGAGGGTAATGACTCTCATTATACTTATGGTTCCCAGTCAAAAGACATACAACCCTGTGTGGCTCGTTTCCTTGTTTGCTGTCATGTAATCTTTATGTAATACTTAACTATGTAAGCTGAAATTAGTGGTTAAAAGCTGTCATCTGTGCTAAATGTATTTCAAGGCAAACACATCACAATTCGATAAAAATGTTTCTCTGTCTGCACAGACCTATGATAAATGTGAGTACACAAAGTATTAAACTGAGTTCTTTGGAACAAATTTGTACTCTGATGTGATTACAAGAGCACTGGTATAAATCATAGTCTGCTGCATATCCCCTGCTCTCTCTTACTCATTTTCTGACTGATAGCTCATAGAACCAGCAATAATTTATCACTTAGAGCATTTGGTATGTTGTTTTATAACAAACCATTGTGATTTCCTGA